TTTTATTATCTGTGACTTTTAATGATATATTTGATAATTGAAATTTTTATTAAGATATCAAAGTGCGCGCGCGTGTGTGTGTGTGTGTGTCAATTAATTTCCAAGAGAATCATATTCATGTCGTCCGGACGACGAGCGGCATTATTAAGTCGATACGTTGTTCCACGTGGACACCCTTTTCCATTCGTGCAAACATGTCCGAACCTCTGACTTTGTCTGTCGCTGAGAACAAGTTAAACGAGCTCAATAAAAAGATCATTGAGATCAAGAAGAAAATCCAGTTGTCAGGTAACGATTCAAATCACATAAAACATCCTTTGCTAATTTATACCGTTCCTGATAATCGTTCACAAAGTCAATGCTGCAAAATTGCTTTACGATAAAATTGCAGAGCTACAGCTTACGATTATGTAGAAGGTGTGCTACTTCTATCGCCTTATTTTTTTTAACAAGTAGAATTGTGTTAACTGCTTGAAGTCATTTCTTAATCTTCAAGATTACTATTTTCTCACATAATAAAAGATAAGAAATAATACATTTTTATTAAATTAAATTCTATAAAAAAAGTTAAAAATATTTTTAATCAATTTAGAGTTATTTCAATAGGAATTTTGTTTTTGTATTGATATTGTTTTGTATTGTTATTGTATTGATACTATGTCGGAAATTGTAAATATATTGACTGCAAATTTTACAGTTCAAAAATGATGCGTTGTTATGCATTATAAGTACAACACCATATATTTTAATATTCAGATATTTGTTACACCACACAGCAGGGCGTGCCAAAAAGAGACAGCTCACTGACATTTCAGGATCGTATTATACAATGATAAATATGAACAAGTCGAACTGGAATAACCAGTATTCGAGATGGCATGGTTTCTTGCGTATATAAAAATAGTGACATAAAATAAAAAGATGGAGTAAAATTTGAAATATGGTCAATTAGATTGCGTGTTATAAGACAACGAAGCGAAATGATTGTATTTCCATTGCGTAATTATCAAGCAAGATTATCAATGTTTTTAAACACAAAGGAAAAATTGATAAAGAATGTTTGTATATAGTACATTCCCATTTTACAAAATATAAATAAATAAATGGAAATTTTTCTAAAAAATGCTTATTATTTGTAAGAAACAACAATTAATAATAAAATAATTATATTAAATTATCTCTTTCAAATTATATTAATATTTAATTAATAGTTCTTTGTACGGTTATAAAGAAAGCTGCATGCGCGCACATATAATATAATAATTTCAATAACAGAAGATACACATACACACACATATACACATATGTTCCTTTATCTTAATTAAATTTTATTATTTTTTATTTTATTTTAATCAATCCAATTTTCATATAACAAGATATTTTTTAAATATTTTATCTTATTATATTTATTATGTTTATCTTACTTTATAAATTATAGTTATTTTATAATTAAAATTTTATAAAATAATTTTGAATTAATTAATTTGTAATTTTCTAGATAAATAATCATCTACGAAATTAAAAAGTTATCACGAAAGCTCCTATGAATGAATTCCTTTACACCACAAGCTTCTTGCAGCGTATTTATATTCGTATTAATAACCCGACGTTGGACGCAAATAATAAGCAGCTTCGATAGTGATGAACGTTGAATTGATTTTTAAAGATCTTGTGCCATTACAAAGAAACTGTCGAGACTGAATAGATTTATCTTGTATCCTTGTTATCCTTGTAGACTCAATTATTTGAACCTAATCAGTCACTTCGCAGTGCGTTGCTGTATGTCGCCGTTTTATGTACCATACTTACACATTGGTTTTATCGTATAGAACAATGGCAACTTTGGCAATAACAGTTGGCGATCAAGTTTTACGATTCTTCGTAAGTCGAGACACGTTCGCATTTCTCGTGACAAAGATCGAATTAACGTATCACCTGAGCTCATGCGAGCGATCATGCATGGCTTGACTCCTTTTTCATTTTCTTTTTTCTGAAAGTCCTAGGAAAACGATAACAGCCTGTTATTAAGGACCTATCCCACGTTCGCTTTTGATATCGGATAATCGATTTTGTAGAAAATTGCAATATTAATCGAGAGTTTGTCGCGATTCGAGTGTACATTTGTATATGTTGAATATATAAAACAGGATGTGCTCAAATAATTGATTGATTCATGATCTAACACCAGTATGATTACTATTCACGTGTCTTAGTCCTACATTGTTATTATTACAGAAAGGTTTAGGGACTATGTTATTTCAGGAAGTTTTCAGCAATTACTCTAATTACTGTTTATTTTGCAGTTTATAACGTTCAACTTTCTCGCGTACCATCAACGATTTATTAAAATGACAGATATCGATTAAAGCGAGAGGTGTAATTGTAAGGAAAAAATTTTACCTTCTATGAATCCTTTTAATAAATAAATACTGTTGTACATATAACTTTGCAACTTTTTACGTTCGAGAATATGAATACAAATAATATATAATGGTATTTTTTCCAGAGGGTCAAAGAAAGGCTACTTTCGAGGAATACGATGCGAAAAAACGTGACAACGCTCAAAAAATTTCTGATCTCAAGAAAAAAGTTAAAGAACTTTATATGAAATATGCAGAAGCAAAAAATGTAACGTCCGAAAAAAAAAATGAAGAAAAATGAATAAGTGAATATTAGCATTTACGAATTAATGTAATTTTTTTTAGAACAAAGAGGCAATAGAACGCGCGGCACTCCTCAGCCGCGATTCTATAGCCTGCGTGAACAAATGCAATTTGGAGGAAATTATAAGCACGGCAAGTGAGAACAATGTACGTTTAAGGAAGAAACTAGATCTAATAAAATATGAAAAAGAAAAGGTAAGTAATTCTACGTATGATTTCGAATCATGACAGATAATGATTATTATTATAATATTAATATCTGCATCCTTTTAGCACGAACGCACTTTGAACAGTTTACAAACGGAAAGTAAAGAATTGGCATATAGACGTAGTCATTGTGTGTTCAAGAAGAAGACGGAAAATCCTATGAAAAAGGTAATTTTTAATCTAAATTTGCTAGGTAACTTTTATAAATGCATTTTACTACTTGCGTAGAAAATTGAAAGTCTGGAAGTACAATTGGAGCATATTCGAATGATGCAGATTAAGGCAAATATTGCGCGCATGAAATACCGTTCTGTCTGCTCTGAGTTAAAAGAGAAATCAGTCTTTTATGCCTCTTCCTTGAAAGACCTAGAAGACGGCATAAGGCAACAGGAAAACGAGATCAAGCGCTTGCAGGCAAGGCCTTGAAGAGAGTAACAACCAGTAATGAGAAGAAAGTAACAGAAACGTTTCGATGACATTTTGCTTAATATCACGTTGATTGCAGGAAGTGAATGAGGAAGCCATAGAATTGAAAGATAGTACTCAAGAGGCCTTGGTGAAAGAGGAGATCGAGGAGACAAGTTCTAGCAAAAAGCGCGACTCTATCATTAAGGAATTCAGGTCCACAAACAATTTCTTATTTCAAAAATTATTTTTTGTTGTTACGCTTTGTTACGCAATTGCATCTTCTAATGACAATAGTATTAATGACTTAGTCATCAATTACACTAGTATTAAAACAAATCTTGCAATTAAAAATAATTTCACAAATTTTTTTTAACGACAAACACGTTGCAAGATCAATTTAACATTTTTGACGTTTTTGCGCAATCAGGCAACGCGTGTCAGAACGGAAGATGGAACTGGAGCGGCTGGAACGCATGATATTTTATACTCGTCCGCGGGATAATTTCGAAACACATGGGAAAAGTCGCGTACAGATACAAGAGGACATGATCAAGGACGAGCTGACACGACTGGAGGAGACGTTCGCCAAGCTGCGGAGCGCCACCGGAGTGTCCAGGTCCGAGGAAGTTCTGAACCGGTTTTTGGGTCAGCAGACGACCAAAGAGAGTCTGCAGAAAATGCGAACAGCCACGGAGCAAGAGAAGATGGTGCTGGAAAAGAAGAGACAGGAGCTCACCGTCGAGATAGAAATGAGGAAATTTTCGGAAACGAAGAGCGCCGAACAGTCAGTTTTTCCGACAGTAAAAATTAATAAGAAATTTATAAGAAATCTATTCAAGATAAATTATTACAATATTATAAATTGGAATAAATGACATTGACAATTTAGATGAACTTTGAATTTGAATTATAAGCGTCCGAGCTTATTTATTTAAAAATATAAAATTTATATAAAAAAGTTTTGGTTTCATCTATTACGATGTGTGTAAAACAGATCTCTTAAATTATGGATTCGATGTACTACATCTACGAAAAATTTAATTTGCAATTACGTTGAACATTTTAGAAACGCGGAAGTAGTAGCGAAACTCAACTCGCAAATCGATGAACAGCGATGTCGAAGGGAGAGAGCCGAGAGTACAAGTCGACGAGTCCGCGAGCTCTTAAACGAGATAACTAACAGACTGTATAAATTGTGCGAGAAGTTTCAGGTGAGAGTTATTATTAATTATAAGTCCGTAGATGACAGAGTCCAGACGGTCTGACGATCGAAGACAGAACCCGAGAGCTTAGAAAAACTGCTCGTTCATCATTTTATATATCAGAAAAAATGGACTTTTATATTCAAATAAGTTAGAATACTAGACTTCCTAGTTTTAATTTATCTTTTAATAGTAATAATACGCGTGATACATAATAGTTTCTAATTATGATAAAAGAAATCACATCTTGTTTCCGAGCAATTAAATAATTACTCGAAAAATCGCATAATAAGAGCCCACGATTTTTTAAGCAGATTTGAACGCGCGTTGATTAGCCGAATGAAAGTAATGACAAAGGAGTATTGACTGAATGATCATTTCTCGATGTAGGCTTCTAATTAACGCGTTTCTTTTCGTAGTGTACTCGTAACATGTCCCTACGAATTATCACGTATGAAGGAACATATTCGGTGGATAAAGCTCCACAATGTCGAAAATGGAAGTGCCGTGTAAACGCCTAATTAAATTAGTAAAACCGCCTCTAATGGCGTTCGGCTACAGTGAATATCTTCGACTATTTATTGTTCCTGGAAGTTTCCTAGCATCACACATTTTGTATCTTCGATGAATTTTCCTGGATAACCCGCGTTCCGTAATTCTCACCTCCGGCTACGTCGCCAAGTCCGCGCATTAACACCTCGGTATTTCGATCGAAAATAAATACTTCAACGCGAGACGTGAACAACGTGAAAAATCAGTATTGATTCTATTGAGAGTATACGTGAGACGTACCGTATGTTAATTTCTGGTACAAATTGTACAGTCGAACTTTCGGACATGCCCATGTTAAAATTGTCTTTGGTAAGTATTTTTATGATGAAAATTTTATTCTCTTTTTCAAAATTGAACTTAAACAAAAAGTATATGATTTATATATCAATTTTCATTTATTAAAGGACAAAAAGAAACATTTGTTTGAAAATAATTCTATTTTTTAAAGTTACGTATTACACAGAATAAAAGAAATTATTTTTAATTTTCGATGTATTATATGCTAAAAATTTTATTTCTTTCATGTCTTAAACTCTCAGATATTAAACATTTATATTTATTTTTTTAAATTGTTTTGAAAAATAGAAGAAAAATATAAGCTCTAAAAATAGCTTTAAAATGAAAATAGAAGTTTTTCTTTGAAAATCTCTTTTTAAAATATAAGAGAATTGTTTCCCAAAGACAAGAAAAATTCTTTTGTTGATATCAAACTATCATTTTATTCGCAAGATATAAAAGATTTTATTCATGAAATTTGTTATATATTGTCTAATTTAAAGAAAAAATTATATTATAAATATACAAGTATACAATCACACTATTTTTTTTAAATTCAATATTTATTATTGAAACATATTAATATAATTCAATCATACAAATAATTCCAATCACTTTTCAATGTTTTTTTTGTTTTTTAGGCAAGTTATAGCTTCCGGCTTGATAAAAAAGAGCTAAGCTTTACTTCCGATGATCAAATCATTCCTTATTTCTTAAACATTTCTAAATTTATCAAATAAAACGTGCTGCATTGATCAGAATAAATAATAATCTGTCTGAAAGTTATGTTCGGTGAGTAAGCGGATACGGTAAAACACCCAAGCCAAGAGCACGTTTTGTCTAACAAAAAATTAAGAAATGTCCAGTTTTTCTAGAGCCGAGCCGAAATTTATAACTTTACCTTCGTCTTCCGAACAGCTTGAAAGATGGAAAAAAATATTGAAAAAATAATAGAGATTACTGTTATAGTTGAACTCTATTGGTATGTTTCGACAATAAATATTGAATAGTATAACAGAATAAAGTTATAAAAAGAAAAAGAAGAAGATAGCAAGGTAGCAATGAATCGTTTTCGGACTGTTGTACAGAGTGGACATGTTTCGTTGGATAATTTTTGCATTGCGCTATCGCGCATTCTTGTCTTCATTTTCCAATTCCGACTTAGTTTTACCAATTTTCGATTTTGTGACTCTTCAGGATAGTGAGCGAGTGAGGCAGCACACTCGTCTATTAGAAATATGCTAGAGATACTGGGTTTGATTCCTGGCAGAACCAAAAATGTCTTTTATACGCTCGTGTCTCCTCTTCGGCGGTTTAGCAAACTGCCAAGAGTATCTTTGCCGGAAACCTCTTTCAATTAAGCCGTTCGGATTTGGCATAAAATTGTAGGTCCCGTATGCTTGTGTACAATCTGCATGCGCATCACAGGTATACGTAAGCGAGAGAGGTAGGTCTAGTCATACTAGAATTCATCGAAATTTATAAAAATAAACGTTGCTTGTGGCAGAAAAAAAATAAAGATTATCATAATCGAGTAAGAAAAAAAGAAGCTTATAAAAAATTAATGGTTAAATTAAAAGAAATCGAACCGGCAGCAAACAAAGAAACTGTCAAAAATAAAATTAATAGTATGTGGACCGCTTACAGAAGGGAATTAAAAAAAAATTGAAAGTTTGTCAGATTTTAAAAAAATTTACGAACCTAAATTATTTTATTACAAATTATTTTACTTTTTTAAATGACCGAAAATGATCGAAACTGAAATTAATTCTTATTCTTCTTTTCTTGGAAGAGAAAAACATTCCTCCTTCGGAACTCTTGCAATAAAATTTCAAAATATAGACAGAAGTTGATTGAAGCGTACATCCAGCAATCTGGAAAACACCACCGCGTATTTCCATGATGGAAACCATGATGGAGTTCAACCAAAAATAATGAATTTAATATCATATGATGATTTAAGTCCAGAGATCTTTACTATTACATATACGCATGCTATTGTGGATGACACGTCATGATAATATTTAAAACAAATCGTTTTAATTCAGAAAGGATGCATTATTCATTGTATATTGTTCCCAATATTCAGCGACAATAATGTCCGTAATATTTTTACAAATTGACAATGCTTGTTCACTTTATATCTCAAAGAAAAGAAAAATAAATTTTTAAATATTAAAAATATATATATATATATATATATATATATATATATATATATATATATTATATTAGTATATATATATATATATATATATATATATATATATATATTATATATATATATATATATATATATATATATATATATATATATATATATATATATAATACACACACACACACACACACACACACACACACACACACACACACACACACACATATCTTAAAGAATTATTGTTTTATTTGTTATAAAGAATAATTATAAAAAATATCTGATATAAATATATATTTTTTGTATTTTTTTACATATACATTATTGAAAACAAAATGCGATCTAATAGTTTAATATGCTCTGTCGAAGAAATAAATATAATTGTTAAATATACAATTACATTATACTAAATTTTTCAAATCTTTACAGATATATGTACAGATTGAGGCCAAACAAACCCCTATTCTCGACTTTTTTAATAACTTCTATAAATTAAATAATGCATGTGTAAAACGAAGATATTATGTATATGTCTGTTCATGAATTTCATTATTTTTATTTTATTCTCATATCAAATAGAAAATATAAAGTAATAGAAGAAAAAAAATTATGTAAACTTTTTACTGGTTTGACTAATCAAGAATAGGGAAGAGTTTAGCTGTATTAATCATAAATTTCTAATAGCATTATTTACATTTCAAAAGGAAACAAAAATTAAATATTGATTAATTGATATATTGTTATATGCAGTTGTCACATGTTTTTTATTTATATAAAATTTATAACAGCAGTTCACACGATGTATATTGATATTAATGTGTATTAGCTCAGCATATATTTTTTAGTACTTCAATAAAATTTTATATTTGTACTTTAATAACACATTTTAATAACATCCTTATAGTAATATAGCTTTGTAAATGTTCAAATGTTTGTGTGCTTATTTTATGAGGTAATAAAATCTTTTTATTTTTGTCTAAAAGAATATATATTTGTACGTTACCAAGAACTCAAATATTACATCTTATATAAAAATATATTTTATAAAATATATAACATATTTTTAATCACACATTAACAAAATACATAAGTTCATGTTTAAAAAAAATAGCATGTTTTTTGCTCAAGCAATCATAATGTCTATTAAAATAATATTATACACGCCTGCGCGTATATACATTTAGTCTTTACATCTTTAAATATTAAGAAACTGTGGAAATTCTTGTATTAAATAATTTTCTATCGTTTCCATCTTATTATTATTATTTACAAGTGAAAACGAACCTTCAATATTTTCTAATGATGTCTCTGAATAATTTACATTGTCATAATACGTTTGATCAGTATTTAAAAAACTACTTTGAAATTCTATATCTTGATAATCTGATAGATTCAATATTTCATTGCAATTTGTCCCACATTGATCAATTATTTCGTTAGTAGATAACAATTCTGGATTATTTGCGACTTCTACAGTAAGTATTTGTCCAGTATTTACATTTACTAATGAAAGAATTTGGGGAACAAAATTAATACAAGATAAATTCATAAGTTCCAACGACAAACATTGAAGGTTTTCCTCAGGATTTGATAATGGTTGTATTTGCAATTGCGAGTCAATATTTACAGTCTGCTTCTTTATATTTATAACTGGATAATCTCTTTCCTTCTTTTCAATTGATTCACGTCCTTTTCTGTATTTTTCCTTTATTAATTTCTAATTTATTTGTATTTATCTTGGTACTAGGTAC